GGCTTGAACTCTAGGCCTGGGCAAAGTCCCTGAACTCTTCAGCTCAAGGCTGGCACTTGAGCCACAGAGCGACTTCTGGTTTTCTGGTAGTTTATTGGAGATAAGAGCCTCACAGAATTTTCTGCCTGAGCCGCCTTTGCACCATAATTCTCAGATCTCAGCCTCCTGAGGAGCTAGGATCACAGGTGTGAGACTGTCTAACAGAGCCTCTCTTGGCTTGCCTGCTCAGAGGGAAGCCATCAATAGCGGCAGTCCAGCTCTAGTCCAAATGAAGAGATCTGCTTCATGACCCCACTGAACCTAGCTCTCTAGTTTTCCTACCAAGGTATCAAACATGCTAGTGAAGCTACCTTGGGGCTCCAGGCCAGTGCACCTCCCAGGTGGTTACCAGTGAGTGACCTCACATAAAATCAGGAAGAAATCAGGAAGAGGGGCTGGGAAAGTGGCTCAGTGGTAGAGTGCTTGCCTTGTATGCATGAGGCCCTGGGCTCAATTCCTCAGCACCACATAAGCAGTAAAAGCCAGGAGTGATGCTGTGGCTCAAGTGGTAAAGCACTAGCCCGAAGAGCTGAGGGACAGCGCCCAGGCCCAGAGTTCAGGCCCCACGACCGATTTAAAAAAAAAAAAAATTAGGAAGAGGTTAAAAAAAAATCAATTGGGGCTGGGATGCAGTTCAGTGGCAAAGCGCTTGCCTAGCAAGTGCAACATCCTGGGCTGGATCCCCAGTACCAAAAAAGAAAAGACAAAAAAAAAAAAATTATTAGCCAAATGCTTTACTACTTGAGCCTTTTGCTTTGTTCATTTTTTGGTGGTACCAGGGAGTGACCTAGGGCCTTGAGCCAAGAAGGCACATTTGTTGGGAAGGAGCTCTGCCACTTGAGCCACATCTCTAGCCACTTTTCCCATTTGGTATTTCAAGGTAGGGTCTCTCACTTTATGCCTGGGCTGATCTGGGCTATGATCTTCTTACTCTTCCTGTTCACTAGGGATGACAGGTACCTTGAATTGCACCCAGCCAATGTGCTTCACTTTACTATAAGACATGTGTCACCTCACACAACCACTGGTTGAGGTAGGGTTTCACAAACTTCTATGTTTAGGCTAAGTCTCCAAGCTTATCTCCAGATCTCTGCCTTCCAAATAGTTTGAGTACAGGCTGGAGTCACTGTGCCCAGCAGCTTTAGCAGACAGGTTCTTCTGACTTTGCCTGAGGAGAGCCTGAGACTACAATCCTACCTTCACATAGGTGCACCCAGGCTCACGGGTGTGAACCATCAAATCCAGCTGGTATTCTTCTGAGACAGTCTCACTAACTTTCTTGTCTCAGCTGGCCCCTATTATACATTTTGGTGAACAAATCTAGATTCATTTTATCTACACATATTATCAGAGATTTTAATTTAGCCTCCTAAAATTTATTATTTTAAACCAGACCATCCTGTCACAAATAGAAAGTGCTACCAGAATGTTAGTCCAGTGTAATAAAACATCTTTTCAAGAGATACACTGTTATCAAAAGTAGTAATTATATACAGAAATGTCCTAGTGAACACACTTGCTGAACAAAATATGTGGCAAGGCTAAATATTTCAGATTGAGATTGTTCTGGAAAATTTTGGGGGATATTCTATTAGCAGCTTATAACTGCATCCAATTACTTTTAAAGGATAGTTAATAGAGGAAACTCTATAAAGGATATATGGCAAGGTTTCTTTTTCTTTCATTTTTTTTTTGTCAGTCATGGGGCTTGAACTCTGGGCCTGGGTACTGTCCCTCAGCTCTTCAGCCCAAGCTCTTCAGCCACTTCAGGTTTTCTGAGTGGTTTATTGGAGATAAGAGTCTCGCAGCCTCTCCTGAGTTGGCTTTGAATCGTGATCCTCAGATCTCAGCCTCCTGAGTAGCTAGGAGTACAGGCGTGAGCCACGGGCGCCCGGCTACATGGCAAGGTTTCTATGGACGCTGTTTACTTAGCGTTCACTCTGTGCCAGGCACTGCCCTTCCTATATTATTAGTGCCTACAATGATTCCTCGCATCTATGACAGATTAACAAATACAAGTCAAAGAATAAATCTCCTTTAATCCTCAATAATGTCATCAGACTTGCAGAAGACGTGAAGCTTAGAAATGAAGAGAAAGGCAGAGGTTCTGATTAACCCAAGCTAGAAGGTGAAACATGCTAGGTGCTGATGGGCTCACCTTTATGATCTAGCTAACAGGGAGGGCAGATTGGGAGGATCACAATTTAAGGCTAGCCCAAGCAAAAAGTCCAAAAGACCTCACCTCAACAAAAAAAAAAGGTTGGGCAAAGTGGCATGTGCCTGTTTTCCTAGCTATAGAAGAAAAAATAGGAAGATCATGAAGGCATTACCACTGAGTATAAAAACTCAAGAGACAGCTCCCAAGCCCTGAGTTCAAGCCCCAGGGCCAGCATACGTGCATGCTTACACACATATACAGATACAGATACACAAACAGACAGATACACAGACACACACACACCCCAACAGAAAAAGACTAGAGGTATGGTCCAAGTGGTAAAGTACCTGCCTAGCAAGTACAAATCCCAGAGTTCAAACCCCACTACTGCCAAAAAAAAAGGTAGAATAAGAACCCAGATCTTCAGATTTTACAGCCTATAATTAACTACATGATAGTGACAATAAAGGAGAAGGAGGGCTCAAAGCAAGAACTGGAAGCTATATATCTGATAGTACTTGTATCTGATAGTACTTGGGACAAACCCCAGATACTATTACACACACACACACACACACACACACACACACACACACACATCTTCAGTTAGGGACAATACAATGCATACTATTTTTCACCCCTTGTCCCTCCTTCGCCTCCATGATGTGCATGCTACAGCACATCTATTCCAGAGTGCTTCTATCTTCGCTAGTTAATGTGAATCCTAGCAAAAGCCAATCTGGGGAAGTTTTGAGGACTAGAAAAGGTTCTAGAAGGGCATTCCTAGCTTCTTCCCAGCTCTGAAATGCTGACTATAAAATATTGAACTGGGTTAGGGGCAAAGCTCAAGTAGTAGAGCATTTGTCCAACAATTGAGGCCCTATACTCAATCGCCAGTACTGGAGGAAGGCAAAAAAGATTAAGTTAATTAGGTATACTAGCCAAATAAAGGAATGAAGAAAAAAGTACAATTCAAATAAACGTATCAATGCTCATCTAATAGAAAGCACTAGTTTCTGTTGACCTAAAGGTATACTGAAATAAAGCAGACGTTCCTCAACTTACAGTAAGGTTATATTCTTATAAACCCAGGAGGCCTAGCATGCACACTGACTTGCATATTACCTCCCCCCTGCAAAAAAACACTGGCATCTAGGCCCATGTCAAAAGGTGGTCCTGTCAAGAGGAAAAGGAAGCAGCAGGGCTGGAGCAGATTCTCAGGACAGAAGAGAAAAAGCTAGAGACCCAAGGGAACCAGGAGAAAGGCTAGGAAACAGGCTGATCCCCCAGAGATCCCTCAGACAAGAGGAATTCTAAGGTGGAGTGCAGCACAAGAGGGGCTTCTAGACTGCCAGGAACACTTCGCTTCTGTATATGGGTGTGTTTACATGGACATGACCTCTGTGAAAATGGTATTACCAAGTCCTATATTTTTCTTTTTCTTTTCTTTTTTTTTTGTCGGTCGTGGGGCTTGAACTCTGGGCCTGGGTGCTGTGCCTCAGCTCTTCAGCTCAAGGCAAGCGCTCTACCGCTTGAGCCACAGCGCCACTTCGTTTTCTAGTAGTTTATTGGAGATAAAGAGTGTCATGGCCTTTGCTGCCTGGGCTGGCTTTGAACCCTGATCCTCAGATCTCAGCCTCCTGAGTAGCTAAGATTACAGGCGTGAGCCACCAGCACCAGGGGATTTCCTCCTCCTCTTCCTCCTCCTTCTTTTTAACCAGCCCTGAGGCTTGAACTAGGGGCCAGGGCACTGTCCCTGGGCTGCTTTTGCTCAAGACTAGCGCTCTACTACTTTCAGCCACAGCACTACTTCCAATTTTTTCTGTTTATGTGGTACTAAGGAATCAAACCCCAGGCTTCATGCATGTTAGGCAAGCACTCTACCACTAAGCCACATTCCCAGCCCAAGAGGACTCTTTCGTGATGTTCAGCACACTGATCATTCCAGATTTCTTTTTTTTTTTTGGGGGGGGGACTATCATTCTCAAGTCCTAGTCCCTAGGGCTCATATTCTTGTATCCCTAACCCTCCAGACCTCATTACAGTAACCAGAACAAGAACAGAATGACTTTTAATCTCAATCCTCAGATCTCAGCCTCCTGAGTAACTAGGATGACAGGTGTGAGCCACTGGGGCCTGGCTCCAGTAGCTCTTCTTAAAGAGAACAAAACTAAGGTTGAGGGTTTTCTCAAAAACTAAGATTTGACTTGTCAATTTAAACTCAGCACCTATCAAACACCATGTAAAAGGAGACTTACAATGTAATACACCATGATTTCCAGTAAAGCTGCTGTGTCATATACACTGTAATTAACAATAAGTTTAATATTCTTGCCGATAAAATATAGTATTCACCTTTGGAGTAGTCAAAGCGTAATTGCCTAGGCTATGCAAGACCCTGGCTTCAATCCCTAGTACCACAAGAAAATAAAGCAAAAACCAAAAAGATCCATGGTTAATTTAAGTATGTACTTGAATTGAAAGAGTATCTTGCATAGTAGAAACCTATTCTCTAGGGCATTACTACTCAAAAGTGACTGGTCATAAACCACTGTGGATGTTAATAGGTTATTTAGCAGTCCATAATAAAAGAAAGTAGCACTAAGATCTAAAGTCTGCTGAGAAAAGGCCTAATGCGCTCAGTGACATAGCTAATTTACCTTCCAATGCAATCTTAGTGTCCTGTAATTCAAAGGTTAAAAGTTTGCAGACTCACCCTGATAAGCACAATCTGGAATATCAAAATGCACATACAGACACAAGCACAGGTTTTTTTCATGAAATACATGAGACATGTAAATACCTGTTCCTGCAGGTCGTAGTCATAACTGTCATGCAGCAGAAGACTGAGGACGTATCGAGTATAAATCATGGCATCAATGCCACATTTCTCCAGCTCTTGTCCCAGCCAGGTCTGCACTGGGCCCAAAGCATGAAGCAGAGACATGTCAGAAACAGACACTGGGCCTGGATAAGAACCTGAGGAGCTTTCAGATGGCAAACCGTCCACCACAAGTGCACACACAGGGTGCATGAATTTAGGTTGCTGACATCCTTAAAACGCAAAGCATTTTCTGCAGTTGGTACTCAGTTGATCTCTGGAGGGGATTTTCACTCCAGCAGAAAGGAGAGGTGCTTGACATCTAGGACAAACATGTGCAGTTGTGCTGTAGTCAGCTCTCTAAATGAGACTTTCCCTTTTCAGGCATGACTAATTAATAAGTATTCTGCCAGCAACAGACATGTAGCTGAAATTTTCTACTTTTGTTTCACATTGAGGCCAAATGTAAATCTCCGGCAGAACCTACAAAAATGAGAGAAGAGAGAAAAATATATATTACATAGTTATAAATTCAATTTAAACAGAATAAAGCCAGAAGTGGCACTGTGGCTCAAGTGGTAGAACACTAGCCTTGAGCTGAAGAGCTCAGGGACAGCACCCAGGCCCAGAGTTCAACCAAAAATTTGTTAAAAATATATTTATATCTAATCTCACAAGTTCATTTACTTTAAAGAACAGCCCCTTGAGTCAGGCTTTTAATGTTGATATACTGGCAAGGCTAACCTCAAACTCATGATCCTTCTGCCTCAGCCTTCCAAATGCTGGGATTACAAGTTGTGTCAACAAGCCAGGCTAAATAAAGGGGCTTCTCAATTCTGTCCAATTGTTTGTGTTACAGTGAAGACGGCTGCAGAGCAATCTGTGTCCATTTAAGCTACAAATAGACTCAATGAAGCTTGCTTGGCACACACTAGGCTTTTTCTGTAGTGTAGTGCAAATTTCCAGCTATTTTAAGAACTTAGCTGTTAAAAACAGTAGCAGTGAATGGTGGTGAATGAATGGAGCTGTGTGAAGGCTCTAGGACAATACTGCTCTGTGCCTGGCAGTGAATGTGTTGGAACAATGGGAGAACAATCCCCAAGAGTTGCTCAATCAATCCACAGCATCCCAGGAAACTCTGGACTAAATTTAAGTTTAAATATACACTAGCAGGATCCAGGAGTCACGCTCCAGAGGTCTGAGACTCATGATCTGATTTGGGACTAGAGCAATTTTTTTTTTTTTTTGGTAGACTGTGGGTGCAGGCCTGGGTGTGGTCCCTGGGCTTTTGTGCTCAAGACTAGAGCTCTATCACTTTAAGCCTCAGCTCCACTTTTGGTTTTCAGTTGGTTAGAGATAAAGATCTCAAGTACTTTCCTGGCCAAGTTAGCTTCAAACTGTGATTTTCAGTCGTGGGGCTTGAACTTTGGGCCTGGGCACTCTCCCTCAGCTCTTCAGCTCAAGGCAAGTGCTCTACCACTTGAGCCACAAAGCCACTTCCGGTTTCCTGGTGGTTAATTGGAGATAAAAGTCTCATGGACTTTCTTGCCTAGGTTGGCTTTGAATTGTGATCCTCAGATTACAACCTCCTGAGTAGCTAGGATTACAGGTGTGAGCCACCAGCACCTGGCCAAAAACAGTTTTTTTTTTTTTTTAATGAAGGCATTTAATTCCTCAACTGTCTAGTCTACATGTTCTTAACATGACATAACTTTCCCTAAGTGGTCTGTGCTCTGAGGAAGAGAGACAACAGATCCAAAACTTACAATTACCAGGCAATACTTTTTAAACAAATAGATAAGACATAATGTCATGAGTTTCAAATATGTAACGTAGTAAAAGGGGTCATTTTGTGTTGATTCATTAATCTGACAAAATCTCACCCCTTTTATGACAGTGTTCTGGGAAATTCAGTGCTGTTCTTGTGGTACAGTATGAAAACAGCTAGTGTTTCTAGGTGTTTACTAGTGGTGGCCTGGCAACGTTTGCTACACGCCATGAAAGTATACTCTATGTATGGTTCAATTTCTCACAATCTATGTTTAAATACAGCAGCCATGGGGTCTGCTTAATTTAAATATTAAGGTGCCTCCCTTCTTTTACATTTTGGTGTAATTACAACACATTAAAAGCAGGGCTGTTTCTGATATTCTGCTGGTTGGGGACTTCTTTCTAACTTGCCTGAATTGTAGCATAGCCAATCCTACCAGGTGCCACATAAACAGCTAGCAACCATGCTGCCGCAGCACTTGTACAATGTGATCCCTGGAAATACCTCGGCTGCTGTTCAGCCAAGACACTCACTTGCTGAAGCAGTCTCTGTTCAAACTTACCTTATATACATGTTTAAAGTATGGAAGCAGGGGCTGGGAAGGTGGCTCAGTGGTAGAGCGCTTGCCTTGCATGCCTGAGGCCCTGGGTTCGATTCCTCAGCACCACATAAGCAAAAAGAAAAAAGCTGGAAGTGGCGCTGTGGCTCAAGTGGTAGAGCGCTAGCCTTGAGCTGAAGAGCTGAGGGACAGCGCCCAGGCCCAGAGTTCAGGCCCCACAACCAGACCCAAAAAATAAATAAAGTATGGATGCAGAACACATACAATTTCAGCTCCTAAATGGCTTTTAATTTTTAATTATTTCAACATGTTAAGTAACATACAGCTCATTTTCACTTCATTCCTTGCATCTAGCATTATCACTACACTTTGGTCCAGAGTCTCACTGTCTAATACATTAGCCACCAGTCACAGGTAGCTATTTAAATTCAAGTTAAAAACTGTCCCTCAGCCAGGCACCCGTGGCTCACTCTGTAATCCTAGCTACTCAGAAGGCTAAAATGTGGAAGACTGAGATTTGAAGCTAGTCCAGGCAGAAAAGTCTGTGAGATTCCATCTCCAATTAACTGGCAAGATGCCAGCATGGAGGCACACTCAAGGGCTCTAGTGAGAGTGTGAAGGTAAGCCAGAGTTCCAGCCCTGGGACTGAAGAAATCTGTACTAGCACAAAAGAAATCATTCCTCAGTCACACCAGCCATGCTTCAAGTGCTCAGAACCTACATGCATAATGATGTGAATACATGACGGCTACATCACACACAGAAGTTGTGACTCCAGCAAATGACCGTGTTGAGCTCCACAAAGACTCCAAATCTCTCTTCAGAGCACATATGCCCCTCAGATGCTGCCTGCATTCTATACTCAGTATGATTCCTTATACCCAGGAGCTGGTATGCTGAACTCCAGGCCATCTGATAATACATGCCCAAGTAGAACTGTTTGAAGGAATTGGAAAGCATGTTCCTTTATGCTGGGTAGCCAAAAATCAAATTTCATTACAGGTCAATACAATCATAGACGGTTTGATCACAAGTTCAGACAAATGAAGCTTACTGGCAGGGTAAAACAAGAATGAAAATAACCAGGGGCTGACGGTGGGACAAAAGCAAGGCACAGTATGCTGAAGAAACTACCCCCAGATAGTAATAAACACAAAGGCTGTATGTCTGCCGGCCATCCTAGATTGACAGGAATGCCCAAACAAATGTTCAAAACGATTATTCTGGTACCAGCGTGGACAAAAAGACCACCATGTGAACTCTGGTGCTAGGCCAAAGGCCAAAGAAAACAAGTTCTGTACCAGAGTACAGAGTGATGCTTAGAATGATTTCTTCTGGAAATGAGGGTCTCACAGCTCATTAGTTAGAACGAGTGTCCAAGCCCCACTGCATCAGGAACAGGTGTGTGAGCCATAGCCACCACTGCACAGGGGAAGAATTTGGGCCCTTAATAGGAACCACTTAACTTCTTTGTAACTTTGTTGAAACCAGTACCTGGTAGAGTTAGACAAAGTTTGGGGTTTTCTGGCCAGTCCTGGGGCTTGAACTCAAGACCTGGGCACTATCCCTGAGCTTCTTTTGTTCAAGGCTAGAACTCTAACACTTGAGCCATAGTGCCATTTCTGGTTTTTTCTGGGTATGTAGTACTGAGGAATCAAACCAAGGGCTTCATGCATGCTAGGCAAGCACTCTACCACTAAGCCATATTCCCAGCCCTACATAAACTATCAAGAGGCACAGACAGCCAAGCACCAATGATTCACATCTGTACTCGTAATTACTCAGGAGGCTGAGATCTAAGGATCATAGTTCAAAGCCAGCATGGGCAGGAAGGTCCATGAGACTCCTATCTCTAATTAATCACCAGAAAACTGGAAATGGAGCTATGGCTAAAAATAACAGGGCACTACCGCTGAGCAAAAAAGCTCAGGAACAGAACCCAGGCCCTGAGTTCAAGCCCCATGACCAACTGAAAAAAGAAAAAAAAAGAAAGGCACATAAGATTAAAACAAGGTCTGGGAAGGTGGTTCAGTGGTAGAGTGCTTGCTCTGCATGCATGAGGCCCTGGGTTCAATTTCTCAGCACCACATAAGCAGAAAAAACCAGAAGTGGCGCTGTGGCTCAAGTGGTAGAGCTCTAGCCTTGAGTTGAAGAGCTCAGGGACAGCACCCAGGCCCAGAGTCCAGGCCCCACCACCAAAAAAAGAAGATTAAAACAATATATCCATGAAAGATTACCCTTCAGAAACAATGAGCACAGATGAAACATGGCTGCTGAACTGACAACCATCCATTCCCCATCTGTCCCCTTAATCACTTAAGGTCATTGCACTGTGGCTTCACATGGGGCTGGTACTGTCCTCAGCATGCTTTGCTTCATGACTGCCATTCAGACAACTGCCTGTTGGTGTGGGCTCCTTCCCAAATGAGGCTACATGGTTCTCAGGCCAAACTGTGACATATTTCATGCCCTATTTAACATAATGCTTACACCTTAGTAGGTGAGCCAAACTGTGATGCACTACGTCCTAAATCCAAACAAAGGAAAATAAATTCTGGAGAGTAAGCATGTAGATGGAAATGCCAACTTTCAACTTTAGAGGCCACAAGAAGAGGGCAAAGTGGGTTTCTCCCTACCCTAGATATACTTGGGTGAAGAGATCAGGCCTGTGGCTCCCGCCTGTAATCCTCACTACTGAGGAGGCTGAGATCTAAGGATCACAGTTCAAAGCCAGCCCCAGCAGGCAAGTCTGAGAGACTCTTATCTCCAATTAACCACTAGAAAACCACAAGTGGTACTGTGGCTCAAGCAGTAGAGTGCTCGCCTTGAGCTGAAGAGCGCACGGATAGAGCCCAGGCCCAGAGTTCAAGCCCCACGAACGACAAAAAAAAAATAAAAAAGTGGGGGAGGGGTCACTCTAACCTAGGAATTCTCACCCATTCTTTTACCACCCCACATCACATATGCAGCTGGCTCCCTGCCAGGCACTGTGCGTGGTACTGGAGATGTAAAGATGAGGACACTAAGGTTTTTCTGTCGGTATGAACTGGTCTATATTAGTGAGCTATGATTTCATGCTTGCAAACCTACTTGTACTTCTTCCCATTGAAACCCTCTG